CGGGCTCCGTAGGGCGTTACTCCTCCGCGCTGCTGTCACCTTATTGTCTCATCGTTTCTAAAAATATTTCCCGGTACCCGGCGCACCGGGGTGTTGGGCTGCCGCCCAGGCGGGGTGTATTTTGGGCAACGGCTTTGGCAGGAGGCGCGGAGCGTGTGCTTCGTGCCGCCGGGGTGCGTGTCGGGAGTGCAGGTAAGCTCGGGTGCTGGCTGCCCGGGGGGGTCGGGGTTCCAGCCGGCTGGAGGGGAGATGTTCGCGCTGGGATTTTTACCTCAGCGTATCAGTCACGTTCAGGCCACTAGGGTTGATGCTCGTCTGACTTTTAATTTGTACTTGTCGTTTCTCCGTAGCTGCTCGTTTCAGTTGTAATTTCTGTGTGGTGTAGCGATAGACTGCGCTCTGCTGTAAACGGTTTTCGACTTGAGAAGTTTCGTTTCTGCCAAAGTTAGTAAGACAGGTTTTTGCGGGGGAGAGGAGGCTCTGTGTGCTTGTTTGAGGAAAGCATGAAAGTCAGTTTCTGCTTTCGTTTTCGAGCGTTAAAATAACTGGATGTGTGGGCTCAACAATAGCGAGCACAAAAATATCTGCTGAAACTAATACGTTTGTAACCGTGTAGGTGAGAGCTGCTCGTTTCAGAGGCTGGTAGTTGAAAGCCGGCGCTGGGTAAGTGGCCCGTCCCCTGTGGAGCTGGTCGCAGGGATGGAGCCTCGGGGAGTGAGGAGCCCTTGAGGCAGGAGAGGCTCGGAAAGGCCAGGAGTGTCCTGCCACAGTTAACAGGTACAGCTGTGGGGGGCTGCTGGCAGCTTCAGCTGCTTCTTTTTTTTTTTAATTTCCAGAGGTGCAAGTTTAGTTCTGTGCTGCTTTCTAGTGCAGACACAGAAAAATAGGTACCAAAACTCTTAATGTTTTATGTGACATTTAGGGATGTCTGTCAGAAGTTGGCAGGAGAGGTGGTTTGTGCTAGTTGGGTTGCCTTGCTGAGCTAAAGTGCTTGCAGTGGAGTTTGATCGCTATCTCCTAATGGCTTTTTGGTCATAATAAGCATCAATATGCTGTATAGGCTGATTTCTTTACCTTCCTGTATTAACACAAACATTTCTTCTAAGTGTGATTGCTGTTGTAGTTTAGAAGGAACAGCGACTTTCACAGCTGAGCAGTTTTGAATACTATTCATGCACATTTGAGGCCAGCCTAACATAGCAAAAGAATTAATTGGAAGAGCTGCTTCATTGTGTCTGTCTCTTTTTAAGAGCTCTGATGGCAAATAGCAGAGAATCAACAAAAGCAGATGGCTGGAGGTGGCTCTTTTTGCTTTGGGGAGCAGACTGTTGAATAGTGAAAGATTAGAAGATGAGTGCATTAGCACAAAACACAAAAAAATACTTTGTGCTCAAGTGTTTTAAAACTTAATTTGGGAGAAGTTTGAAAAAAAATATATTTTTGAGCACTCTTCAGTTCACTATACTTACTTGATACTGAAAGTTCATTTTTCCAAGTGCAGGTACAAAGTTCCAAGTACGGTGATAAAATACACTTCCAAGGTCATGATGTACCAGCACAGGCTTGCCTGATGTATGTAATGCTGTGGCAGATTATTTATGGGGGGGGGAAAAGGCTGTACTGCATCTTGTGTGACATGTCAAAGGTATGCTAAGCATAATGTTTTGACCTAATGCATAACAGCATCAATTAAATTGAAGGCTATCTAAAATTTAAAACCTGTTACAGACATATGGACTGGATCTTTTTGGTTGTTATGGGGGTTTCCTGAAGGCTTGTATATGTTTCTACAGAAAGTGTCTTACCAGAAGTTAGCTTTCAAGATGAATACCAAATACCAACCTCCTGAGGAACATTAATTAGTACTGAATAACTAATGTTTGGGATTTTTTTGTTAGTGCTGCAGTGAATGTTGTTGCCAGCTAACCTCTCTATCTTGTTGTTAGGTGTCAAGACCATTTAAAATTTATTTTAGTTGTGCTGTGCATACTACTTTTTCAGGAGTACGATGGCTGTCACTGCTTACTTTGATTCCTTCTAAAAACTATGAACAGTATTGTGACTTAGTCACAAATCTGTCAGGAGCAGAACATTATCCGTGTAACCTGCACCCAGCGGTCTTTAGGAATAGCTCTTTAAACACCGTTGCAACTTAAAATTTCAGTTCTCCTGGGGGCTTGTCTATTTTAGAGTGATTTTCTTTTTTAAAGGGTGTTTTTGGGGGTCTCTGGCTTTCTATAACTTTTTTCAGAGAGCTCAGAAATGAGTGTAGTGAGATCAGTATGGCATTCTTCATTTCTTTGCACTTGACAGAGTAATCCTGTAGTATATTTAGTACTTGCAAATCCGGGATTTTCTTTCCAGCTAAACAGTAGACCAGAAGTGATAATTGACAGTTTCTGGGATGCTGCACCAATGTGTTGAGGTATGGTAGAAAGGGGAACCCCAGAAATCTTGCACCTTTCCATAATGCACACTATTAAGATGAAGGTCATTAGAGTGCCTGCAGTGGCAGTGCGGTTTTTCTGCAACTGTCTCATAGTGCTGTGAAAAATCAGGGGAGTTTAAATCATCCTGCTCAGAAAAGGAATGTGGTATTTTTACTTCACTTAGCGTAAGTATGGGCATGTATTTTCAATTCATGTGATTATTGTGCCATTTATTTTGTACATTTATGAAAAAGTAATGAATGTCTGAAACTGATGCGTGGTTCATGTGTCATTAAATTAGAAACTGGAGGAAAACAAAGAACCATCTGGAGACTTGGTGGGGGGGAGGTTGACATTTCTGGTTAAAAGTACTATCAACACAGGAAAAAGACTTTCAGCTTCAAAAGGAGGCAAAGTGTGCTGGGCATTTTGTCTGATAGGTTTTGTGGTTTTTTGGGGTTTTTTTTAATCATCTTCTTTTCATGATTAGGAGGAGCACCAAATGAAAGACATGGACAATATCAAAACTGTGAAGAAAGAATGGTAGGTGCCAGTTCCCCCCTCCGCCTTTTTCCTCTTCCTTTCCTATTGTTACTTGTGTGTACTGTCATGACTTTTCAAACTTTATGTTAAATTTTTAAATTTTAAGTTTTGTTTGCTGTGTCCACCTGCTCCACATATACTGAAGTTTTCAAAAAAACTATATTGTTTTGCTGAAAGAATTTCAAGTACCTGGGAGTGTTTCCTAGATGCAAGAAGCTGCATAAATATTTTTGCTTAAAACTGAAAGGCAGCATTAGAAATTGCTGACTCGCTGTGCAGCTCTACATTTGATATGGAGGTGTTTGGTTTTCCAGTTGTGTTTCCAAGGTAAAGCATAGTGAATACCTAAATTAATGCTTAAAGTTTCTTTTGTTCTATTAGAAAACTAAAGTGAGGACAGTATACTTTTGAAATTTCTTCTTTAACGTAGTTTTTATTTTGTTTAAAGATGTTAATCCTTAGGGATTCTTAGTGTTGCATGGATGCACTGCAAACAATTTATGCAAATGTATCTAATTACCATTCAAGTAAGCATTTCAGCTCTTTAATTCAATGCAGAGTTTTATGTAAAACTGCATACTTTTCACAAGCGGAGTTTTTTTTCTGAATTGCTTAAAATAGACTTTTCTGAATCTCCAATAGCAATAACTCCTGCAATGTTTACCAAAAGCTGCATAATCCTCTTACTATGCAAAGAACCTGAACTGAAATATAGTAATTCATTCAGGCTGCATATTTCTGCATTTTGATTGGTGAAAATCTAGCAGAAACAGCTGTCACATATAGAATGTTCTATAAAAAGATGTGCTTGATGCATCTTTTTTAATATTGTGGCAGTCTCCACAGTATTGAAGCCTTCTATTGTATTTCTTCTGTGTGCTGAAGTGGTGTTGAGTCACTTGTTCTTGAGTAAGGTACTTTCAAAGACAGTAACGGTGGTTCTGCGATGGTGCTGGGAATGGGGAAGCTCAAGTGGGGGTGGGGGAGTAAATCCTGGGGCAGTTTTCTTGTATGTGGTTTCTAAAATTTATGGCAAAGGAAGTCACCCAAGCCTGTATCATCAAAATGCTTTAAGGAAGGCCTTTCATTGTGCGCAGTTAAATGTTTGGTGGTCTGAATTAGAAGTATGAATCATCTAACTTGCATTCCTTGCTCTGATACCAAGTTTAGAAGCTTCTGCATAGATCAATTCACCTTTTTTATTTTCATTCTTTAACTTGTGCTTCTAAGGAGCAAATGGTAGCAGTCAGAGATGCGTAACCAGCTTCTAGAAAAGGCACAGTGCAAAGCTGACCTGATGTTTTGTAACACCCAAATAAGCTGGCTGCATGGGAGTGTGCCTTTTACACCTCTTGGTGCTGAACCTCTAGGGTAACTGCTTGCCTTCTAATGTGTTGTCTGAGGCATCGTTTTTACTTATATCTTTGTTCCACAGGATGTGTAAATCGGGAACCAAAGATCAGATTTTAAATAGAGAACAAAGCCCTGACTTCTTTGTAGATAACCTTTTTGAAGAAGCTCAGAAGGTTGGTGCTATATGTATGCCCCGAACTACAGTCAAGAATCAGGTAAGCGGTGAAGAAAAAAATACTCGTCTTTAACATAATAGCACTCCAGGAGTACTCTGGAAAACAAATGCAAGAAGTTCAGCAGTCTTATGCAGTACATCTGTAAATAAATGGACACAGAATTCAGACCGCAGTAGGAAGTCTCCTATCTCTTATTCAACCAGGCCTATGCTTCTGTGCTTCTGGCTCTTGCTACTTTATAGTTTTAATGTTGTTCTAAGCCTTCCACTGGCGTTGGCTAATGTACTCTCCTTTATTAGTAAGGAGGGTGAGCTGATCATGAGGTGCAAGGAGTGACAACTACTATTACATAAGAAGTTGTTTAAAAATTTGCAGCCTTTTTATGCAGAGGCATAGCCCATTTTTTTTCTTTTGGTCTCATTTGTGTAGTTGTGGCAGTAGTGGTATGTTTAGCATGGGTTTGTGTCTCAGTGATTCTGTCCTTTTTATATTTTTCTGTTGCTCCCCAAAGACTGGGAAGGGGCTGGAGAAAAGGCCATGTAGAACAAAGATGTCAAGGAGAAATTTGGAGTGGGCATTGCTGGAAGTTACATGGATCCCTAACTGAGTCTGGGAGAAAAGGAATATTAGGAGCAATACTGAAGTTAGAGAGATTTTGGTGAACGGTGTGAAGGCTACGAGCTGAAGTAGTGGATGTTGTCTGTCAAAGTTAATGAATGGCTAAGAATTTATTTTTTTCATTCCCTTAACACCAAGCTTTTTAATATACCCAGGAATTCCAGGGTAACATAAATGTGTGACTGTCTGAAAAAAAATTTTCTGATTCTTGCAGCATTTCCTGAGTGAAAGGCTTCTGCATGCATTATCTCAGTGTCTTTTGGAAAGTCCTCCTGAATGATCAGAACAAGGCTTTATCCTAATAAATCCCCAGCTGGACTATTCTGGTAGTTGGTGTTCCAACTTCAGGCATGTGTGCTCTCAAATTAGCTCTTGAAGAGTTGCAGTTCACTGGGATCTTCCAGCTCTTTTTTTTTTTTTTTTTTTTTTTAAATGCTGAATTGAAGGGAGTGTTCTTGACCTAGGAAAGCAAAGTGATTGGGGGAAGGTTTATTTCTAACCCTGATTGACACAAGATACTTAAAAATGTCACCCTTTGCAGTTGCTCTGCCTGTTGGCGCAGGGCCAAAACAGATTATAGTGAGCCTTCTCTTGGTATTTTTAGCCCATGCAGTAGATGATTTACAATCATAAGGCAATGTGGGCAAGCTGTTTTTACATCAGTGTTATAATGAGAATTGTTTCTTACTTTATAGGTTGATGTAATCATTAAACTTTGGAAAAACGGGTTTACAGTAAACGACGGTGAACTTAGGAGCTACAGTGATGTTGCAAACCAGCAGTTCTTGGACTCCATTAAAAAAGGGTGAGTTTTGTGTATTTAATCAGCCTGAGTTAATGTGCTTTGGATAGCACTTATCTTATGCTCTAAATTTCTTACATAGATGCTTGCCTTTGCTGCACTGCAGTAGCCCTGTAGGAGCAGTAGGCCCCTGTCTGTCTCAGTTCCTGCAGTGCTAATGGCTGTTTTGACATCAGGAGGTTTAACACAGCTTTCAGTTGCAGTGGTCATACAGTTGCTGATGAAACAGATAAAAGTGAGTGTTGTTAGGGGGCACAGCAGGTGCAGAATGAACTAAAGAATGAGTGAGAGTGCCCAGTTGGAGCTACTGATCAAATGGTACTTTGACTAATGAACTCAATGCGCAAGTGGTTAAGCATTTCTGGTTTTATGGTTTTTGTTTTCTTTTTATTTATGAAAAGCCATTAAAGTGGACACAGTTGCTCCATGTAACATGAAGAAGCTCTGATCAGTCTTAAATTTCAGTCATTGTTTTTAGTACAAACTTGCTATTTTAGTCATTTGTGTGTCTATAGCAATCTTGCTTTTTTCTCCCTGTTAAAAATTAGCATGCTATAATGATTTTTGCTACTGTTTACAGTGTTGTTTTAGAAAAAGAGGTTGACCATAGAAACCAGTGTAATTTCGAGCGTCTAATGTGTAGACTGTTTCCTCACCCCAAAGAAATGGAGAGGAGAATATAATTTAATAGCTCTTTTCAAATAGGTGAAATGAAGTCATTGTATTTTTTCTTTTCCATACTTTACTAGCCCATTAAAAATACTAATTTTACACTGTATTTCTCCTCTACAGCTATCACTTGTGTTAGTTGTGATGACAATTAACTGCATTGTTTAAAGTCCTTTGCTTTCTTTGTGTGCATGCATCAAAAGTTTGACACCTTTCTTCCACCCTTTGTTTGTGAAGATGCTAATTACAAGATGGTTGCTGCATAATTGTTCATGGTGGAGAAGCACTTAGTACAGCCTCTGTGCCAGCTGAGCCCCACCACCCGAAAATGTAGTCTCTGCATCAGAGCTCATAAACAAAGGCATGGCTGTGTTCTGCTTAATGCAAATAAAGCATTACCGAGGTGATGTTACTGCACTAAAGAGTGTAGCTGTTAGCAATGATGTAATTTTTTAAAAGCTGACACTTGTGCTTATTTGTAATTAAACACATTGTGTCTAAACACAGTTCTTTCTCTTTAAAATACAGTTGTCTTTTTTTTTTATTACGGGGATAAAATGATGGAACCTTTTGCAGTAATGTGTGGCAATACTGAACTTCTTACACATCATGTGCATTGGAATGATAACTGCTGAGTAAATTTGAACATCATTCAACAACTTGCCTGATGGTGTCTTTTAACTAGAAAGTGAACAATGAAAAATTTGCAGTTCAGGAACTTGAAGTTGGTTGTATGTTATGCACTTAATGTAACTCTTAGTAAATACTTGTGTTTTTTTTTTTTTTTTTTAAAGCATCATCCTTGAAAGGACAAACACAGAACAGGTGTTATCTGTTTTGTATACTGAAAACACTATCGCAGCTTTTTCTGACACTTTTTTTTTTCTTAAGGGAATTGCCTTTTGAGCTACGAAAAGTTTTTGATAAGGAAGAGGTAGATGTGCAAGTGGAAGATAAAAAAGATAAAGTGTATTTGTCATCAAAAAAGCCAGTGTTTCATCCATTTTCTGGACGTGGTTACAGATTAGGAAGGTGAGTAATCTGATGTGATCTATGATTCAGTAGCTGAAGGAAACTATACCTATGGTAAAGGATCTCATATTTTAGGTTGGAAGTGACCTATGGAGTTCTCTAATCTAGGCTCCTGCTCAAAGCAGGGTCAGCTGTGGGGACAGATGAGGTTGCTCAGGCCTTTATCCAGTTGGGTACTGAAATCCTGCAAGAGTGGTAGCTGTGCAGCCTGCTCCAGTGCTGGACTGTCCTCATGGGAAATAATTTTTTCCTTATATCCAGTCTGAATGTCTTGTTTCAATTTATGTCCACCATGAAGAGCATGGCTCCCTCCTCCTGATGACCTCCTGTAGACTCCGGCAGGCTGTTAGGCATCCCCCCTGACACCATCTCTTCCACAGGTTGAACAAGCCCCTTTACTCCAGCCTCTGCCCGTAGGGCAAACGCTCCAGCCTGCAGCCATCTCGGTGGCCCTCTGTGGAACTTACTCCAGTTTATTGACCTCTCTCATTTATTTTGGGTACCAAATCTGAATGCCATATATAGGTGTGCCTAATGGGTGCTACATGGGGGATAGTTGTCTCTACAATCTACTGTCTGTGTTCCTTTTAATACAGCCAGGATGCTGTTGGCTTTCTTTGTTCAAGGTCTCAATATTAGCAGAACTGTTTCCAGCTGAAAGGCTGTCACTCTTCTATTCTGTGATTTAAGAGAAAAAAATCTCTTTTAAAGATGTATGTGCAATACTTTGTGTGAGAAGAAGTCAGTATGACAATTCTGTAAATGGAACTGAAGAAGTAAGAAGTTATTTTGCATTCTCTTAAAATTCTTCAGTATTTAACCATGCATTTATTGCAGTAAGACATTTTAGCGTGTTAAAGTGATCCTCTTTCCTTTACTCCGTGACAGTCATGGCTGGAGATGGTCAGCCACTAATGCCAGTGCTAAAACCGGACTTGATTTGTAACCAAACAGTACTGCATTTTGGAAGGCTGTTGTAGAGGGACAGGCCAAGAGTTCACGTATTTGATCTCTGTGACTTTTGCATACTCCTGCCAAATTATCTGCTTCACATATTCCTGTTGTGTACAACGAGCATGCCTATAAAAGACTTCAGCCAAGGGAACAGGACATATTCAGTGACCAGGAGCCTACAGGAAGCCTTCACAGGTGACTAGGGTTAGTAGACTGTGGTGAAACCTTAGCTGAAGAGCTTGTTTTGATTAAGTGGAAAGGGTTTGGTGCTAGGGCCTGGTGCTTGTGCTGAGGGAAAGCTGGGTAGGAACACATAAGACAGAGGAAGAAGATAATAATGCACAGAGTGAGAGACTGATGATGGTAAAGGATGAGTGGTTCCAGGCTGCCTCAGAGAAGCAAGTATGTTTTATCAGTTTCATCTGTTTCTGTAGCACAGTCCATTCAGTTGCTACATGCTTGAGTAGATACAGTCAATAGGGAAAAATCTTCCCTTGGGAGATAGATGAGATGGTGCAAGACTTGCTTTTGGTAGCACTGAAATCCTGAGCAAATGAGGGTTAAGAACTTCACCTTATTTTATCAACAAGTAGACCTCTATATAGCAAAAACAAAAAAGATCTTCAGCATGCTGGGTTTCTGCTGCTAACCAGTGCTAAGTGGTACATTGTCCAGTTGCTTATCGTGCTCTGTCATGCCTACAGCAAGTAATGATCTTGCTTCCCAATAGGCGAGTTAGGTTCTGGAAACATGAAGTTCTGTGAATTTCAGTTGACTGGTCTTGTACACTGGGACATCCTACAACTTGCTCAGCATTTTTTTCTTTATGGACTGGAAAAAGTCTTTTTTTTTTTTCTACTCTTGCTTGTATATTCAAAGGCTTATATATCAAAGCCTTTTCTTTAAAGGTGAGTAAATATTTTTGCTGATGTTGGATACATGAGCCATAAGTGGTTTTACTCCACAAACTAGTGCTCGCTTCCTGACGTTAATAAATGTCCATTGCATGTATATGCTACACTTTAAGCAGAAAAGCTTTGTGGGGAAATAGTAGTGCTGTCCAAGACCTGTAACAAATTTTAAGCTATAGAACTCTCTTTCTATAGTTGCATTTGTGTGCTTAATGAGAAATTAAAGAGGCAAATGACTGAGCAGTTTACTTCAGCTTATGACCTATCTAAACTTCTGCTTATCAAATAAACATTTTTTTTAATGGTCTATAGATTTTCTGCCAGTGTTCCCAGATGGATGGATTGTGTGGTGGATGAACCATTATGAATTAGTCTGTTGACTGGCTCATTAAAACTTCTGCTGGAGGAAAAATGGAGGAACTAGAAATTATATGTTTGTCGATACAACTCAGATTAGTTTGATCCTCTCCCTTTTTGTCGTACAGGAGGAACAAATGAGACTTATCAGACTTTTCCGATATACATGATGAATCTATATAACTAGTGGGTATATTCTGTTTTATCTACCCCTGTTCAGCTGCATTTAATAGTTTGTGACTAAAACAAGATTTGCAACTGCACTTTTCTGTTAAGCTTATCAATGCATTTTAAAGACTGCCTCAGAAGCATGTTAATCAAACTATTGACTGAAATCCCTTGTAGCAAAGTGGGCTTGCTCTGTAACCTCCTTAGGGTAAAACATTGTATGTCAAGCTTCTTAACCATTAGTTGGGGTAAGGCACGATACCTAACTCTTGGGCTTTCTCATTTCAGAAGATTGAGAGGAGGCTCTTAAATCTCTTTGATCTTTAGTTTACATCTTCTTTTTATAATCTCTTAAAAGGAATAAGCCTTTAAAAGTGGTGATAATGCTTTGATCTCAGGCTACTAAGAGATTTAGATTCTTGGTTTGTGGCTTTAGTCAAAGCTCCCACCACTAGATGGCTTTATCCATCAGCTCTACAAGAGCAAGGTTATTAAGTACAGAAATACTTAAAACCTTGGTGAATGTAGATCTTCTGACTTTCTCTTGCAGCTTAGCTTAATGTGTCGGCTTCAGTTTCACACATAGTTGCTACTGAAAGAATCCTTTCCAGTGCCTACCACAAATTCCTGAGATGTGACAATGATGGAAGAGTTAGTTTGAGAATGACACCAAAATCTGTATCCATGTGAGACAGTTGTCTGAACTACAACTGTGACTGTAGTTCAGCCCAGGCTAAACCAGATGCCTGGCAGCTGCATGGTTGACTCCAGCCTCCACTGTACTGGAGACAGCTAGCTCACACATGGGTGCTTATACTCTGGTGTCTGAACCTGGAACCAAACCCCACTGATCAAGTAGACAGCAAAAGCTGGTCATTGCTGGACTGAAGTATGACTTTAACTTGTTTTTTTGCTCTGCTCCTGAGACTGTTTTAACATTATCTTGTTAAGACAGCAGGGCATAGCCAGGAGGTTCCTGGAATGTACTGATGACAAATTCCTTCTCCAAAGGGTAGAGGAACCAACGAGGAGAGGTGCTATGCTGGACCTTGTTCTCACCAACAAGTAAGGGCTGGTGGGGAATGCGAAGCTCAAGGGCAGCCTTGGCTGCAGTGACCATCAAATGGTGGAGTTTAAGATCCTTACAGCATTGAGGAGGGCACACAGCAAACTCACAACCGTGGACTTCAGGAGAGCAGACTTTGGCCTCTTCAGGGATTTGCTCGGTGGAGTACCATGGAATAAAGCCTTGGAAGGAAGAGGGGGCCAAGAAAGCTGGTTAATATTTAAGGATCACCTCCTCCAAGCTCAGGAGCAATGCATCCCAACAAAGAGGAGCCAGGAGGCTGTGTGGATGAAGAAGGAACTCCTGGACAAACTCAAACACAAAAAGGAAGCCTACAGAGGGTGAAAGCAAGGAAAGGTTTCCTGGGAGGAATATGGAGAAATTGTCTGAGCAGCGAGAGATCAGATTAGGAAAGCTAAAGCCCTGATAGAATTAAATCTGGCCAGGGATGTCAAGGGTAACAAGAAGAGCTTCTATAGGTACATCAGGGATAAAAAGAACACCAGGGAAAATGTGCGCCCTCTCTAGAAGGAAATAGGAGAACTGGTTACCCGGGATATGGAGAAGGCTGAGGTACTCAGTGACTTTTTTGACTTGCTGGCAAGTGCTCAAGCCACAGTGCCCAAGTGGTAGAAGACAAAGGCAGCAACTGGGAGAATGAATAACTGCCCACTGTAGGAGAAGATCAGGTTCAAGACCATCTAAGGAACCTGAAGATGCACAATTCTGTGGGACCTGAAGATACGCATCTGCAGGTCCTGAGGGAACTGGCAGATGAAGTTGCTAAGCCACTATCCATCATATTTGAGAAGTCATGGCAGTCTGGTGAAGTTCCGACTGACTGGAAAAGGGGAAACACAACTCCCATTTTTAAAAAGGGAAAAAAGGAAGATCTGGGGAACCACAGGCTGGTCAGTCTCACCTCTGTGCTTGTCAAGATCGTGGAGCAAACCTGGAAACTATGCTGAGGCATATGGAAAATAAGGAGGTGATTGGTAACAGCCAGCATGGCTTCACTAAGGGCAAATCATGCCTGACAAATTTGGTGGCCTTCTATGATGGGAGTTACAGCGTTGGTGCATAAAGGAAGAGCAATTGACATAATCTACCTGGACTTGTGCAAAGATTTTGACACTGTCCCACATGACATCTTTGTCCCTAAATTGAAGAGGCATGGATTTGACAGATGGAGCACTCAGTGGATAACGAATTGGCTGGATGGTTGCACTCAAAGTTGTGGTCAATGGCTTAATGTCCAAGTGGAGATGGGTGATGAATGGTGTTCCACAGGGGACTGTACTGGGACCAGTGTTGTTTGACATCTTTGTGGGAGGCATGCACAGTGTGATTGAGTGCATCCTCAGCAAGTTTGCCGACGACACCAAGCTATCTGGTGCGGTCAACTTGATAGAGGGAAGGGATGACATCCAGACGGACCTTGAGAGGCTTGAGAGGTGGGCCCATGCAAACCTCATGAAGTTCAACAAGGCCAAGTGCAAGGTCCTGCATGTGGGTTGGGGCAATCCCAAGCACAAATGCAGGCTGGGTGGAGAATGGATTGAGAGCAGCCCTGAGGAGAAGTACTTGGGGGTGCCGGTAGATTAGAAGCTCAACGTGATCCAGCAATGTGCGCTTGCAGCCCAGAAAGCCAACCGTGTCCTGGGCTGCATCAAGAGAAGCATGACCAGCTTGTCAAGGGAGGTGATTCTCAGTACTGCACCCAGCTCTGGGGCCCCCAACATAAGAAGGTCATGGACCTGTTGGAGCAAGTCCAGAGGAGGCCACAGAGATGATCAGAGGGCTGGAGCACCTCCCGTATGAGGACAGGCTCAGAGAGTTGGGGTTGTTCAGCCTGGAGAAGAGAAGGCTCTGGGGAGAGCTTAGAGCCGCTTTACAGTACTTAAAGGGGGCTACAGAGAGATGGGGAAGGACTTGTGATCAGGGGTGGAGTGATAGGATGAGGGATAATGGTTTTAAGCTGAAAGAGGGTAGACTTAGATTAGATATTAGGAAGAAATATTTACTGTGAGGGTGGTGAGGCACTGCCCCAGGTTGCCCAGAGAAGCTGTGGATGCCTCATTCCTGGAGGTGTTCAGGGCCAGGCTGGATGAGGCTTTGAGCAACCTGGGCTAGTGGGAGGTGTCCCTGCCCATGGCAGGGGAGTTGGAACTCGATGATCTTTAAGGTCCCTTCCAACCCAAACCATTCTATGATCTTGCTGCTGCTCAAGCTTTTTTTTTTCAGATCTGGAAGGTGATTAGGGTTTGGTTTTTTTGTATTGTAGTCAAGCATGAACAGAAACTGGGTGTGAGATAGGTAAATCAGTAGAGGCAGGTGGGTGATATTAATTCACCTGTACTTGGAATACCAAAATGTTTTCCAGATGTGCTTCTTGGAATCTGTTGCTCCCAAGTTCTTGTGCCCTAGCTGATTTCTGTCTAGTGCAGAATGGTCAGTTCTGTGCCTCTCATCAACCTCCACTTGCAGTGAACTTCTCTTATGACTTGGGAATGAGATTCCTTGATTCTCATTCTTTTTGCAGGGTTTCAATGGAAGAAATAAAAAGTGCCTCTACTGGCTCACAGCTTAGAAGTGAGGACACTTAACTAAGCAGTAGGTAATAGGAGTTTTTGAAATACCTCAGACCGAGAAGGACTTGAGCCCAAGATTCTTATTTTATTAGCCATCTTTGTTTTAATATTAGATGAGCTGTGACTTTTCTGCTTTATGATTAAACATACACATACAAGAACATAAGGATGTAAGGATGGGGTTTGTCTGCAAAGCACATGTAGTATTGATAAGACTTATTCTGTGGCCATTAGTTACTGACTTCTCTCTCAAGAAACTGGAACTGATCAATTTTCTGTGCAAAGAGAAAGCTCTTCCACAAACCTCTGTGTACATGTAGTCAGTGATTGCAGCTGAGCTCAGAGAAGAAAGGGTAACTCCTCAAATCACTGCTATTGTTTTACAAGCAAACATCTGGTTATACTCACATGGGCTGAGGATGTGCCCATTGGATCGGGCCCTATGATGACTTAACAGCACATGCTGAACAAGCTCAGTCCTGAAAGAAGCACTAAGCTCCAGACATTTCTTCAGAATAAAAACTTTTGCCAGGAATTTCTTTTTTTTTTTAAGACCACGCACATGGCCTGAGATACCTGTATTCTGTCAAGTCATTTTATGGATCTTTGCCCTTATGGCAGGGTCAGCTATCAAAAGTGCCTCAGAAAAAACCCCAAAATCCATGTGCTTTGTGCATCAGCCTGGGTTTTCACATTAAATCAATTTCCCTGATAAATGAGTAATGCTTCTAAGCTGAAATAGATGATGCTGAGGTCTAAATCAACAGTAACAACATTCAGTTAAATTGAATTACTGTAATCACATTATGGTGAAAATTAATGTTGAGTATGCAAATTCAATACTCAAACCCCTTAAAGTTTCACCTGTGTGATTAGAGTACAAAAACGCAGGAAGGATTTTCAGACTGTTTCATCTCTTGTGTATTCATATTTAATCCTTTGATGTTTAAATTCCCTTCCATCTTGTAAAAATGTTTATCATGAGCAAACTGAAATTCCTTACCATGTTGAAGTCTTCAAGAGAAAGTATTGTCATATTGCTAAAAAGAAAATAACCTGAAGTTTATGTTAGTGTTCCTATATTTGTTTAAAAAAAAAAAAGTCATCAATGCACCCTAATACAGGGCAGAAAGCTCCAGAAGCAGAAGTCCAGAGGGAGGTTTAAGCTCACGTGCGTACACAGAAGGCATAACCTTGTATGGCTTTTCTTTTTAGTGCTACTCCAAGGATAATCTCTAAAGTAAGAGATGATCATCAAGGAGCTGACAACAAAAGATGCCTGCCTTTAGTACCCTTAAATGATTTGGAGCCTGTCACTAACATCCAGATCTGGTTAGCTGATGGGGAAAGGATAATCCAGAAATTCAATGTTTCTCACAGGTAAGTTTTGGGATTTTTTTTAACACTGTCATATGTATTTGCATCTGAACAATTTGCCCTATGCCTGTATGCATAAGTCTCTAATTTCTGTGAGTAATCTATCTCCTTGCTTCACTTAACATTGGACTGCTGTTCAGCTGTATGTAGAAAACCTTTCAAATTTTAAGAAATCTTTTAGCTGACGAGAGGAGTGTAAGAGGAATGTGAACTGATATTAATAGTCAGCACATAACTTGGCATAAATGAAAATCTGAGGAAACTGTAGTTCTTTATAGGTTAGTGGAAGTTAAGGTGTACATGTTGCTCATTACTAGAGGAAATAGCTTTTAAAATGCCAGATCTGTCATAAAATGACTACATCTGGAGCAAATTGCTTAGTAAAAAGCCTGCTAGTCATTGGACACAGACATCACCACAGCTGGGAGCTGGAGGATGTGACTTAAGGTTGAGACAGAGAAATCTCTAGGGAGAGCCAGAGGCAGTGCGCTAGGCAGGGGAAGTTCATCACCTGCGTGGCAATGTGGACCAAATAGAATGCATCCCATGTGTTCAATTCTTAATTAGTAAAATATCTGGTTCCCAGAGAGGATTATAAATGGGCATAATGTCGGAAGGTGTCAGCACAGCATATGTATGCAGGAGCTTTGAGAAAGCAGGATTAACTGTTTTACATTAATTTGTAGAATTACTGTCTTTAGAGACCTTTCTCGAATTTGTATTTTCAGGAATTACTCCATTACTATACAGTCACATTACATGGAAAGAATATGTTGCCTGTGCTTCTCTGTGAAGCAATTTAAAGTGATCACAGATTTCTTACAGCCCAGGCTGCAGTCAAGATAAACTGTGTATATATCTTTGTGGCTGGTCAGAAGAAAAACTCAGCAGTTGAAGGGTAATGACTGTAACTTTTTCTTTAACTCGTACTAGTTTATTACTGTTAGTGGCCTCAGGTATGAACTGAAACACTTGCAATATACTGCTGAAGGGTCAATTGCTATTTTTATTATAAATACTTCTTTGGAGGACTTAATTATTTTAGATTTCACACATTTGAATATATTTAGAAGCTTTTTGTCTTCATGGTAAATAGCAGTTTGAACAGCTGCTAAGTGCTTTTGGAGAAAAAAAAAAAAGTCTGAGAAAAGCAGAACAGCAGCCTTATTGATGCAATGCTCATTTTGAAGTAATTTGCAATAAATATTCCATGATAACATATCCTCTTGCCACAAGACCAGCGTATTTGTGCTGTATACAATATTTGCTTATGACCTAATAAGAAATAGGGGGAAATCCTTTTAGAGTACATATCCTTAAGCATTATGATTGCAGGTATAGCGCTCCTTTCAGTGGAGTAGCAGAAGACAGTCAACTATTTGTTAATCACACTATAGGTAAATAGCCTGTAGCATGTGTATTGCAGTGCTTGGGCAAATTGATTACTTCTGCTCTTTTGCAGATAGAATGTGTATGTGCCACAGTAGCTAGTACTTTAGATATGACTTGATTACCCATGAAAGATTGAAGTTCCAGCATTGGAGCAAAAGTGCAGCTGGCATTTTAATTGTATGGGGAATCGAGGAGACATGAGAGTGAAGCAACTGTCAGAGCAGTGCTGTAGGAATAGCACATGTAGCTGTGTCTTCAATCGAGCTGTGTCCCTTCTTGAGCAGTTGCTAAGTTACTGTGACCCTGGAGCACCGGGTATGGAACATGGGAAGGGACTTGCTCATCCTAAGCTAGACAGCTGGTGGATAATTGCCTGAGTTGCTCTTGAGACCCAATGAACTTTGATATATAGTGCATGCAGACACCTGTAAATGTCCAACCAAAAATTTATTCCTGCTTGAGGTTTTTCAGGCTTTAGGCTTATAAGACCAAGCACTGAGGCCTGTGTGCACAGGAACTACATGCTGGCTAAATCTGTCCTAGTAAGTGTGGCTAAGGCATGAAAATTGGGTCATCTGTGCTGCTAAACTGTTAAGATGGCTTTTCCCCCAAGCCAAGTAACACTTTCTCAATATCTTGGCTTGGTTCAGATGTTAGCCCAGGTCACGTACCATTCCCAGGAGGCAGTAAACCCTGTGGACTACCCGCTGCATGGGGTAGAGGAGGGGTGAGTTTAAATAATTTGCCAGCAGCTAGAGTGTGCCAGGATCAGAGAATGGATGTTGACACTGTGGTTATTTTACTGGTATAGATGTATCCTGTCATCTTAATTTTCTAATTAAATTGGTCAATCCTGATTCTTCCACAGCAGACCCCCTGTCTTGCTCACTTGTTGCAAGATTCTTCACAGCTTAACAGGCAGCTTGAATCTGTAATACATTCACTGCTGCACCTGTTTGGTAGGAGGAGACTGTATTTAGACTGACTTAACTCATAAGCTGTATTGGGTCTGGCTGAGATGGAGTTAATTTTTCCCCATAGCAGCCCTCGCAGTGCTGTGCATTGTATGGGTAGCTGGAAAGGTGTTGATAACACCAGGATTTTGGCTGCTGCTGAGCAGTGCTCACACAGCATCAAGGCTGTCTCTCCAATATTTTTTGCCCCACAACAGTAGGTGGGCAAGATCTTGGGAGTGGACAGAGCTAGGACAGCTGACCCGAACTGACCAAAGGGATGTTCCGTACCATGTGACATCTGCTCAGCCATAAAAGCTAAGAGAAAGTGGCAGGGGGAGGGAGGCATTCATTTCTGTGACATTTGTCTTCTGGAGTGAACGCTACGTATACTGAAGCCTGGCTTCTTGGGAAGTGGCCAGACATTGCCTGCTGATGGGAAGTAGAGAATGAATCTTCTGTTTTCCTTTGCTTGTGTGCACGGCCTTGGCTTTTACTTCATTAAACTGCCTTTATCTTGACCCATGAATGGTTTTACCTCTTATTTTCTCCCCACCTTGACTTGCTGAGGAAAGGAGTGATAGAGCAGCTTGGTGGGCACCTGGTATCCAGCCAAGGTTAGCCCACCACATAAGCTATCCAGGCAATTTTTGCAAACCCTTTTTCTTCATTATTATTATTATTATGGTTCTGCCACATGTACCACACACTGGAGGCATCTTTATTCTAGCTCTTGGCTACAGAAACCTCAGATAAGAGCTCCACCAGCTGGTTAAGAAACAGTAGGTTTGTGTAACTACCATCTACCATGGTGAAGCATTTGAGTGCCCAGAAAAGATCTCCAAGCACACAAACCTTGGTCCTTGCCTCCGAAGTGGATCAGGCACTTCAGGATACCACCCCATCTATGTTCCTCCATTCTGTGCCATCAGCTATTACATGAAGTGGGTGTCTCATTCTCTTCTTGTGCTAGCTATGTGTGTTGTACATATGGTCTGTGTTGGGATTGGAGTGCTCTAATACTGAGTTTTCTTTTTTTGTTCTCAGAATAAGCCATGTAAGAGACTTCATAACAAAGTATCAAGGATCACAGGGAAGTGCTCCCTTCACGCTGACTACTTCACTGCCATTTCGAGAGCTGCGAGACGAGACACTCACGCTAGAGGAAGCAAAGTTGCAAAATGCTGTTGTTGTTCAGAGACTCCAGAAAAAAACTGAACCTTTCAGACCCTTGGTGATAAAAGCACCTGACAATGACTATAAGACTGCTGCTACACCTAATGGACAGCTCAAAAATGAGCCAAAAAAAGCTATCAAAAGTACGAGATCAAATTAGCTCTTAACTGGCCAAAAACCACATACAGGTGGAACTAGACAAAGCCAAAAATGTAACCAGCAATATCTGGATGTACTCTCATCCTCATGTACTGTGGTCTTAGAAAGCAAAATGTGTGCTGTGCTGTAATCTGGTATAACAGAAGTGTTTTCAACTAAATTTGGTGATCAGAGCCTGACTGTATAACGTAGCAGAAGTTAACTGTACAACAGGTCATTCTTAGAACTTCCTTAGGTAGAAAGCTTCTTAGTTCTTTAATGAGTGTATTTAGGTGAAACAGTTCTCTGAGACTTAATTACTACTGATAGCACCTTTTTAAGGAGAAATAGTATTTATTTTTGCACTTTGGACTGAAGTAAAACCGAACTGATTGGTTTCACTTACATTTTGGTGTAAGCTGGTGGGGCTTGCATTCTTCTCACAGTAACTTTTAGGCAACAGATGCTGCAGGGAAGCTCACATTTGAACTAACTTGAAGATCTTCAGTATCTTCAGGATTTAACTTTTATCACAAAATCTCCAGTGTAGTGTTCTATCAAGTCTTCATGTGGTGGTAGTTGCATGTGTGAGAAGATGGAAATGAGGTAGTCTGGTGCATACTGCATATGAAGTGCCTCAAAGTAAGCTCTGAAAAAATTATTACCAGAGGTTGAAGTGGTTTCTGCCTCTTGTGCTGCTATGGGATGTTAAACTACCTAGCTCATTAGGATAGAGATCTGCTTTTAGCCTTGTCACACAAAAACTTCAGGTTTTCTGGAGATTACCATACAGGAATAGCGGCTTAGAGGGACACAGCTGTTTTTGTACTATATATCTGCCTTCGTCCTGAACTAGCCAGCTGATTGAGACACTATTTGCGTGTGGCCAAGTTTCAAAGATTTTTAGAATCCTTATTTGAAAACTGAAGTTTCTTTCCTTCTCTGCCCCATTTCCATCTGAATCTTTTATTTTCTTATTAATGTACTTGAGGCATAAAATTTGTAGCCAACTATCCCATGTTTTGCTAAAGGAGAAATCAACATAAAGAGTAAATATTTTGTACTGTTTGAGTAGCATATGGGTTTGTGAATGGAACTAGAGTCTCTAGGTAAGACTTACCCTGGGGCCTTCAATGAGTGCTGACTAGTCTGTGCCTCCTGATCAAATGGATGATTGTTGGGGTTGTGCTACTTTTGCATGGTTCAATGAAAGATGGGTTTGGGATGGGTTTTGTTCTAAATAGAAGACTACTTAATTGAAGTGACTTGAATGCTATCTAAAAGTTGTGTTAGTTCAAACTAAGGATGTGTTTACTTCATTCACAAGGATGTAAAACTTTTGTTTCAGCATCTCTCCTGGTATGTTCGAGAGCACTGAAATTAAAGTCAACTGCACAAATATATTTTCAATGTATTAAAAAAGCAAATCTCTGAAAACTATGCAGTCAAGTGTTTTCAGTGCTGTAAACCTGATGTGCTACTGTGTCATTCAGGTTTATGTAGCAAATAATACAACTCAATTTTCTTTGCTCTTGCGCTGACTTCTCTACTATATGAAAAGCCTACCAGATCCCTAGTAGTAGGAAGAAATGTGCAGACAAATCCCCTAGTAAAATTGAAGAGACAAGTTGCGTGCAGACATGGATCAAACCCTCAGTTTGCAGAGCTTCCTGAACAGTGAATTTTATTATTAACTGCTTTTACGTTTGTCTTGATGTAGGACTAAGTATTGGAGAACCACACGTGCTTGATTGTAAGCTCAGTTGCTCTTACCTAAAGGGTACATAAAATGTCAAAGTAGCAGTATATTGTTCCTGCACTTGCAACATAGAAAGTCAAATAAATAATTAGTGTAAGATTGATTGAATTTGAATGAGGGATCAAATTTTAAGGTAGGTAAATCCATTTTCCTTGTTATCAGAAGAGCATGTTTTTGGAACTGAGCAGTAAGTATTTAGTATTTCAGTGTTGATTCATGTCTGCTACTGGTATTTTAAGAGATTGGATAGCTTTTTTCTGTCTGGCTTATATATTGTGCTTTACTGAAATCAACTGTTTCTAGCTACAGCTTTGGTGTACTTGAGTGTGTATGTGCAGTTTGAAAGTGTCATGATCTTAATTACAAAATGAGAGAAAATCTTTAAACAGTCAAGAGTGATGCTGACTGCACTAATCCTATGTTAGACTAGGAAGTGCCTTTAAAAAAAAGGCAATGAACTGTGATTGGATAACTTATTTCCTAATTTGGTGAAAATCTTTGGAATGAATACAGGGCTCTCCTAAATCTAATTGGTTTCGGTCAATTTGTAAAGACTGATTAGCTACCTGTAGTGTCTGGGCAGCCTAATCTCTTGCTCAGCTCTGTAGACAGCTATTGTGCATTGCTCAAACAACAGTAAAACTAGCTCGATCAATGCTTGAGTTTGTGAAACACACAAATGCTATCAGTTATTCATTGTTTCTTCACAAGCCTTCCCTGTTTTGAGTAAAGCCTGTGCATTAACATAATTTACAGCAAAACTGAAATAGCCGAGAAAAGAACAAAGAAAGGAAATGCTTTTCCAATTTTTTTTTCCTTTGTGAAGAAACATGCAAATGCAGGTAACAAAGATCTAATGTGTTACAAGGACGTTGTGTGAAGAGAAAACCTAAATGCTGAATGTACATGTTAAGTGCATACCTTGTATCTAGCTTGGTATTTTAGAAGAAAGGCTGTATTGGGGATGAGGGACTGAGCAATCCACCTCTTTGAAGCCCATCTAGCCTGAGCCTTTAGGGACCGCTAAAAACTTCAGAGAGTTTTCAGCAAGGCCTGTTAAGACCACAATTTCAGGTTTGTGTTGAAGGTCTGTTTTCAAGAAAAAATGCCTTGTTCTTTCAAAATCTTGCAAGTTTGCTATAATTATTCTTGTCAAATACAGCTGCCCAGGATTTGCATATCAGTAGTGCAGTTTGCAGTGGCTGTCCCGTACCCCCCAAGTGACCTGGCCGTAGCAGAGCTCTTCAGATCGGTGGAGCCAGGGAGCCCTGTGTGGAGGGGTTAGTCAGCTTCTTCCCAAGATGAGCAGATGACCAAGGTGTTGGGTGTTTGTTGGGTTGCTTAAACCTTGTTCTCTCAGCTTATCTCACTGAAATAATTCATACTTCAGGTTTTTTTTCCTTGTTTCTCTCAGGTGGAGCATGTTTGCAAGGCCATTTTCCCATGGGCAGAGTGGCGGTGGCAGTGAACTTGCCCGGCCTCAGTCACGCTGTCAGCTCCAGGGCCCCTGAGGGCCGCAGCGGCTCTTTCCGCAGCACACTCCCTGGCTCAGGGGCAGGTTCTGTGTGATCTCCTGTCCAGCTGACAGAAGATGGCATTGCTGGCTGGCATGGTTATAAATTCATACAAATCAACAACCCATGCATCTGTTCGAAAGGATAGAGCTAGGTTTTTTAGACTCTGTATGAAAACAGCACCGGAACCCTTTGCCCTCTGGCACTGGATCCCTGAGCACTTCGCTGTGGGGCGAGGCGGGAGCGGCGGCCTCAGGGGGCCGGCAGGGCGGGCGCTGTGGCGGCCTCAGGCTTGGACGCTCGGTGTGGGTAGTCAGGCTCCCCTAAGCCTGGGGTTTAC